AAACATTAACATACCTGTGTGGAGAAAATGAAATACAGTAACAGGAAACTTCAACATCCTACTTACAACAAAGCATAGAATATTTAGACAGAAAACTAAGAAGAGAGTCCACCTATATGATACTATAAACTAAATACAATATTTTATCAAACAGTATGAGAATACACATTCTTCTCAAGAATACATGGAATATTCTCCAGGATAGATATTATGTTAAACCAAAAATAAAAAACAAGTGTTTTTAAATTTAAGAAGATTAAAATTATATCAAGTTTTTTATCACAATGGTATGAAACTAGAAAATCAACAGCAGGAGGAAAACTCAAAAACTCACAAACATATGTGATACAGTGTGGATGTTTTATCTCCCACCACAAAACTCATGTTGAAAAAAGTAATCCCCAATGTTGCAGGTGCACCTAATATGGGGTATTTGGATAATGGGGGCAGATCCCTCAAGAATTCTTTGGTGCTGTCCTTGATACTGAGATCTTATGAGATCTGGTTGTTTAAAAGTGTGTAGCACCTGGTAACTCACTCTCTTGCTCCTGCTCTTGCCATGAGACTGCCAGTTCGCCCTTTACCAATTGTCATGATTGCAGACTTCCTCAGGCCCTCGCCAGAAGCCAAGCAGATGCTGGTGCCATGCTTCTGTACAGCCTGAAGAACTGTGAGCCAATTAAATCTCTTTTCTTTATAAATTACCCAGTCTTAGGTATTTCTTTAGAACCATGTAAGAATGGACTAATACGGTGTTGACATTCAACATGTTCTGAAGAACCATGAAATCAAAAGGGAAATCAAAAATTATCTTGATACAAATGAAACTGGAGACACAAGAAACCAAAACTTTTGAGATGTAACAAAAGCAGTTCTAGGACAGAAGTATAAAATGATAAAGTTCTACAATAAGGAAAACAAAGATCTCAAATAAACACTCTAATCCTCAAGGAACTTTATCAAGAAGAACAAAATAATCCCAATGTTGGCATAATTATAGAAATCATAAGGATTAGAACAATAAGAGAGAAAACAGAGACTAGAAAAATAATAAAAAATATCAAAAAACTAAGAGTTGAATCTTTTAAAGAAAACGAAATGAAAAAACTTTTCCTAGATTATCTAAGGGAATAAAAGAGGGGGAACTCAAAAAGTTATTAATGAAAAAGTAGTCATTCCAGCTGATATCAAAGAAAAACTAAGAAACTATTATGAACAATTACATGACAAAAAAGATAACTTAGAAGAAATGATTCTTAGAAAGAACAACATATTGCAAAGAAATAGAAATACCAAAAAGACTAATAATGAGGAAGAAGACAGAATCAAAAATCTCCCAATTAAAAAAAGCCCAAGACCAAATGACTTCCTGTGTAAACTGTATCAAGCATTTAAAGAATATCAATGCTTCTCAAACTCTTCCAAAAAACTGAAAGAAAATTTCAAACTCATTTTATGAGGCCACCAACACCTCATAATGAAGCCAGATAAAGACACTACAAAAAAAGAACAAGCCAATATTCCTTATAAAGATACAAGCAAAAATTCTCAACAAAATACTAGATACCAAATTCAAAAACACATTAAAAGGATCATACATCATTATCAAGTAGGATTTATCCCTGAGATGCAAGACTGTCTTAATAACAAAAATATGAAAATCATATAATCCTCTCAAAAAATCTATTAAAAGCCTATGATAAAATTAAGCACATTTTCAAAACAAAAACTCCAAACAACATACATACAGAAATATCCATCTCAACACAATAAAGCCATATACATAACAAACATTCAGGTAATAACGGTGAAATGCTGCAAGTTTCCTCTAGTGTAAGAAACAAGACAGGGGTGCGCAACCGCAACACTTCTATTCAACAGAGTAGTGAGAAATCAAGTCAGAACAATTAGGTAAGAAAAAGAAACCAAAAAACATTCAAATCAGGAATAAAGAAGTAAAACTGCTCACTGTTTACAGATGAGGTGATTTTAAAATATAGAAAACCCTAAAGACCATATCAAACCAAAACAAAAAAACAGAGCTAATAAATCCATTCAGTAAAGTTGAGGCCACAAAAATATACAAAAAGTAGTTGCATTTCCATATACTAACAATAAACTGTCTGCGAAAAAAGTTACAAAAAATCTTATTTATAATAGTATAAATTTTTTTTTAATTTCTATAACTTCATTTAACATAGGAGGTGAAAGATCTGGCCAAAATCTATAAAACACTGATGAAAGTAATTGAAAAAGACACATATATTTCTTTTTCATGGGTTAGAAAAAATAATATTGCTAAAATGTCCATACTTCACAAAGTGATTTACTAATCCATTGCAATCTGTATTAAAATTTTAATGGCATTTTTCACAGAAATAGAAAAAATTCTAAAACTTCTATGGAATCACAAATAACTCCAAATAGACAATGCAATATTGAAAAAGAACAAAGCTAGAGGCATCACACTTCTTCATTTCAAACTATTACATAGCTATAATAATCAAGAGTATGGTACTGACACAAAAACAGACACATAGACCAATGGAATAGAATACAGAAACCAGAAAGAAACCCATGGTGTATACAATCAACTAATACTTGACAAGGGAACAAGATACACAAAGGGTACAGTCTCGTCAACAAATAATGCTGAAAAAAAGCAGTCATGTGCAAAAGGATAAAATTGAACATTTATACCATGTAGAAAAATTAACTCAAAAGAATTAACATTTAAATGCAAAACCAGAAACTGTATAATTTCTAGAATAAAGCATAAGGAACAATCTCTTTGACACTGGCCTTGGCAATAATTTTTCTGGATGTCACACCAAAAAATCACAAGCAAAAAAAAGCAAAAAATAAAAACAAGTAGCATTACATCAAACAAAAACATGTGTGCACAGCAAAGAAAACGCAGAACATGAAAAAGCAACCCAGGGATTGGGAGAAAATATATCTGATAAGACTTTTACATCCAAAATATGTAAGAATCGCACACACTTCAATAGCAAAAAAAAAAAAAAAAAAAAAGTAAATCTAACTTAAAAATGTGCAAAGGACCCAAGTAGAAATTTCACCAAATATGACATGGAAGTAACAAACAGGTTTATGAAAATGTTCTCAATGTCATTATTCGTCAGGAAAATGCAAGTAAAACCTCAATAGATATCACCTCACACTTGTTAGAATAATTACTGTCAAAGAGTCAAGAAATAAATATTCACACTTGTTAGAATGACTGCTGTTAGAGTCAAGAAATGTTAACGATAATAAGGGTCAGAGCATGGAGAAAAGAAAACGCTTGTACACTGTCAATGGAAATGTAAATCAATCCAGTCATTATGAAAAATGGCATGAAGGCACCTCAAAAAAATTAAAAATAGAAGTATCCTACTTCTAACTGTATAAGCAAAGGAAATAAAATCAGTATGTCAAAGATATATATGTACCCCTATGTTCATAGCCAATTATTCACAATATACAGAATATTTTTCAGCCGTAACGAAGAAGGTACTCCTGCAATTTTGACAACATGCATGAATAAACCAGGTGGACATAATGGTAATGAGTACAAACTTTCATTTACAAGATAAATTCTGAATATCCAATGTAAAGCCTTATAAATATAGTTAACGATACTCTACAGTAGCGGTCCCCAACCTTTTTGGCAGCAGGGACCAGTCTTATGGAAGATAATTTATCCATGGATGGAGGTCAAGTGGAGGATAGTTTGGGGATGAAACTGTTTTACCTCAATTCATCAGGCATTAGATAGATTCTCATAAAGAACACACAACCTGGATCTTTTACATGCACAGTTCACAATAGGCTTCGCACTCCTACGAGAACTGAATGCTGCCACTGATCTGACAGGAGGCAGAACTCAGGCAGTAACGCTTGCTGGCTCAATAATGGTCACCTCCTGCTGCGTGGCCGGATTCCAGACCAGTACTATACATCTCTGCTCTACAGTATACTTGAAATTTGTTAACAGTGTACATCTTAAGAGTTCTCACCACATGCAAAACAATTGGCATCTAACGTGAGATAACTGATAAGGTAATTAACTTTGTTGTGTTAGTCATTATACAATGTGTATGCATATCAAATCATCAAGATGTACCCTTTAAATAGATATCATTTATACTTGTGGAAAGAATCATATGTCAAGAAAAAAAAGAACTACAGGACGTATTCTCAGTAAGCTTCATACTTAATCAGACGAAATTATAAAATGATAGTTAAGATACAAGGCAAGAGTTTAGGGTTTGTTACATACTAAGCAATGTTCTAAGCTTCCCATAGACAAATGTTAGATAAGAATTCTACATAATGAGTAATACACATTAAACTATTTTACATTTGTGGAATTTGTGCCTATAGTTTAAATTTCTCATCTTAGTTCAGGCTAGGAAAAATGAAAAGTTGAAGTGAAACATAAAATTAGATTTTCTTATATTTAGGAAGATGCTTTGTGGTTTGATAAAATACTGCATTTTAATTTCTGTAGGATCAGCCCAGAAACCACAATAGAATTAAAAATTAATATATCAAAAATATGTGACATCTGTCCACAGAATTCCTGGAACTTCTGAAAAAAATCCGACTGTCCATCACTCCCCTCACACACTTCTGACATGAGGCAGAAACAGAACTTTAACAGTGGTTTCACACAGAGATAGAAACATGCACAGACCTTCCCAGAGCCCCCAAATCAATGGAAGAGCAGTCAGATCACACAGGCCCTCACAGGCCAAGGGGAGCACTTTGGCTGACGATGTAAATTTGATGGTGGATCGCGGAAGGGAAAGGAGAATCATTAGATAATTTCAGAGCATGAGACAGAAGATGTCCCTCTATGACAGCAAGAGAAATAAACTCAGCCTTCTCAAAAATCATTTCCACTGGAGAACTTCCCAAACCACACTTCAATGTCTGGCTCTTTCCTGACCTCTGGACCTCTCACCCATGTCAACTACTCATTCACTGCCGCCTACCTGGCTGGATGGCTACTGTCTCCGCACTCTTCGCATTCCAGGGCTCTTTCCTTTGCTCCAAAAAGGTGATCAGGTCCGGCTTAGAGACAGCAAGACCTGTTTTATTGGAAAAACTCACATGATTCTGACAGTTCTTTTTACGTTTTTATACTTTTTTTGGCCCCACAGGACAGGATTAATTTCTAACAATTTCTAATTTCTTTTTTCTACTGTGATCAGTAGAAAAAAGAAGACATTATAGAAGACTCTAGAAAAGTGTTTCTCAAAATACTGTTTCCTACCAGCTTCTTTAGAATATTTAGGAAACATTTTAAATTTGGGGATCCTGAGTTCTCTTATAAATCTGAATCAAAATTTTAAAATATTGGATTTTAAAGTGTTGGCAACAATAGTTTACGTCAACCAATTTCTAGACTCTACTAGAGTGAAACTTGCACATCACCTCAAATAAAAAGGCAAATGTCAAGATCAAACATTATGAAATTTTTTCTACATCAACAAAACCCCCATTTTTTTTATCCTGCAAACAAGAATCTGAAACTAATTCATACAAAGCACAAGATCCCAAGAGACATTCTGAAAAGAAAAGAAATAAAACTCTTAGTTATTAGATATTCTGAAGGCAAGTTATCCTCACCCAGAGAGACTAGGTTTCTGTAGTTCTCTAACATCACATCCCAATACAAATTCTTCTGAGCTGGTTCCAGGTGTTCCCACTCCTCCACAGAGAATTCTATGGCCACATCCCTGAATGTCAACAGTCCCTGAAATAAAAATAAACAATACACTGACCATGTGGCCATAGCAGAGTTCTTCATTTGTCCCAAGATGAAAAGACAGTTATTGGTTCTGACTTATAATGAGTGACCTGAATTATTCAATAAGATAATTTTTAACACAGTAATATTTTCTAATGTAGTCTCAATCTCTGTGGAGAGTTACGTAAAATCCTCAAAACTAGTGATTATTTACACAGAATGTAAAATATAAAACTAAAGCATATGTAAAATATAAAACTATGTCTTTTCTGCTTTAGCTCTTTGCTGCTTCACTTTTTTGTAAAGTTAAGTTGTAACCTGATGGTAATTAGCTGGCTTCATTATTTTGTAGTACAACCAATATGTTCATTAGAATTTTTTGCATTTCATTTAAGTTAGTACTGTAAAGGTATCTTGTTCCCCTCAAATGAATCAACACTGCTACCCTCTGTATAATTTTTTTTTCTTTTTGCTTTGCAAAAACACTAGAAAGGCTGGCAATGTATGTTTTTATAACCTGTTTATAATCTGATATAGAAAAAATTTCATGTTTGATCTTGACACTTGCCTTTTTATTTGAGGTGATGTGTAAGTTTCATTCTAGTAATGAGTCCAGAAATTGGTCGACATAAACTATTGATCCCAACACTTTAAAATTCAAAAACAGGAATATACATTTTTGAGTGCTATATTTCCACCATCCAGAATCAGTTGAGTATAATTCTCAGGTGGAAAAGTCATGGTGACTTAGAGGCATACTTCCCAAGTTTTATTGTATACAACAATAAACTGGAGATCTTATTCAAATGCAGATTCTGATCTAGGTTTTGGCCTGAGTTTCTACATTTCTATGGTTTTTAATCTTTTATCTTGACACAGGGTCTTGCTCTGCCACCCAGGCTGGAGTGCAGTGATGGAATCTTGGTTCACTGCAGCTTCGACCTCCTGGGCTCAGGTGACCTTCTTGTCTCAGCCTCCTGAGTAGCTGAAGCTACAGGCATGAGCCACCACAGCTGTCTGAGTGTCTACATTTCTAACAAGTTCACCAGTAGTGTTAATGCTTCCGGCCCAGGAGCCACTTTTGAATAGCAGAGAGGCAGAACACTGAGCAAAGAATTCAGGCATGATGTGAAACTGAGAGTTTTATGAAATTTACAAGTTACAACATAAAAGCTAGAATAGTAGTAATCCTTTTTGAACATATCCTGTATATCAGCTGTCATCCTAACAGTTGTTTACATATACAAAACCCAATAAATAATCTATGAGAAAAATTATAGGATTCTTCCTCTTATATAAAAATTTTTCCAAATGTTTGCTACATAGTAAAGCTTGTATTTTGCCTCAGTTTATCTGATTTAGAATTTATCTCAAAAGGACATACAGGCCAATATACAAAAACAACCTTAGCAGAATGTTTAGAGAAAATTTCATAACTGAGTAATGAAAACAAGAAGGCAGTCACACAATATTGATCAAATAATGCTTTCGTTTTTTGTGCACACACAGAGAAATGGTAACTATATACACATTAAAAGTAAGAGAATATTTCTGTGTAAATAGAATTAGAAAATATTTTAAATTGTATAAAAACTATAAAACTCTTTGTGGATGATGTCTTTTTTGTGTTTTTAAATAACTTTATAAAGACCAATACATACAATGATATAAACTAAAAGCTCTTGTTTCTGAGTCTGGTACTTTTTTTCAAGTTTTTCTTATGTTTATTCTATGTGCTATTATATATCTTAGAATTTCAAGACAATATATTTACTATGCTTATTTACTATATGTTAATAAACAATAAGACATATTTAGTATATGTTAATAGACGATAGATATATTTACTATGTTATATTTACTATATGTTAATTCTTGCTCTTTCTCTGAAAATATAGAGAAACAATAAGGATATGCTTGTGACATGAGATGAAATAAAATGGAAACCTACAGAACTAAGAGCTGTTTCAGAACTTCCAGGCTCAAAAGCTGTTATCTCCTGTCAACAAATGCAAGAGCCTTCACTCTGCAAAGAAAGCTATAAGCAAAGGGAAACTAAAAAGAAATGGGAGTCTCTGGATTAAATGTGATGGTTTATACACATCACTCAGTAAATCCTCCCTCCTAGATACTCATTAAAGACAAAGAGAAAAATGATTAACTTTATAGTGAAGGAATCTGGCAAAGAGCACCTGAACCAGGTGTATGAAGTTAGCATCGGCTGTAATAAGACAAATTGGTATTAGTGCTGATGTACAGATGGGCCCATAATTACTGCTGTGATATGAGTGGAAGGGAAAAGTAAATCATAATCTTAATATAATCATAAAAAGCAATCTGTGGGGGAAGATACAGGTGACCATAGTTCCTCAAACTGGCCAGGTGACCCTACTTAGAAGCCAGGGCTGAGAATCACTTCGCTAAGCATTGTCTCTCAAGGTTCAATATGCATACATATCATTTGGTATTCTGGGACCCCTCTAAGTAATGTGATTCTGCATGTTTGGAAAGTTTCCATGAACTGGCTTCTTTAACAAGTCCCCAGTCAATGCTGATATTGCTCCTCCTAGACCCATTATCAATAGCACTCAGCTAGAGGAAGCAGACACAGCACACAGGGTCCCTCACACACAGTACTTTTCCTCACAATACAAATACTTTTTGTTCACAGCAAGCACCACCAACCACTGTCCTGAAAGATCACATCCTTTGCCAGCCATTTAAAGCCTACAGAGGCTGGAGAAGACAGTAACGTCTAAGACAGCATTTGGAAAACAGTATGGATACATGCACTAATGCAGTGTTTACTGAGCTTGTACTATGTGCTCACAGTATTCACTGTGCTGAGAACATCACATGGTGTGAGTTAAACCATATAAATCCCTGGGATGCAGGTCCTGAGTATCCCATAATTCCCAGCAGGATTTAGATGATGGCCCAGCTTTTCTATTTCTCCTTCTGTTTCCCTATCACTATAAAAGCTTAACTATAGACATATGGGAGGGATACAGAAAGGAAGGAGTGAAATTTAGAAGAATTTCTTGGCCAGGCACAGTGGCTCATGCCTGAAATCCCAGCACTTTGGGGAACCAAGGCAGGTGGATCACTTGAGGTTAGGAGTTCAAGACCAGCCTGGTCAACATTGTGATGCCCTGTCTCTACTAAAAATACAAAAATTAGCTGGGCGTGATGGCATGCCTGTAATCCCAGCTTCTCGGGAGGCTGGGGCAGTATAATCACCTGAACCAGGGAGGCAGAGTATGCAGTAAGCCAAGATCGCAACACTGCACTCCAGCCTGGGACCACAGCAAGAGAAGAATTTCTCATTATTGTCTTTACATCTTTACATTGACTTCATTACAACTTGTGGAGCAACTACTGGATCTGCAGAAATGGAAAAGAGGTTGCCGGGGGTAATGTTTCTAGAGGTACTGGTTTCAATAAGAAAAAAAATTAAATTTCCAAACAATTTTTAAAGTGAGTCCTTTGCTCTCATTTACTTGCTTTTGGATTTGGGGAAATTGTGAGCACCGCCTCTGCAGAAATGGCAGCAGCAGCCACCCAGAAATCTGATCTCATCTAGTCAGTTCTATGAGGGGAGGCTCCAGGATAGAGGCAGACCTGGACAAGGCTCAGAAGAGGGTGGATTTGGGCAGAGCAGATGAGGATGGATGTGGGCCCTAGGCTTCTCATCTCTACCCTGCTGGTTTATTTTCAGTTCTGTCTTTCCAAAGCCTGACCAACAAGAACTTGACTCCCATGATTTGCCTTGTTTTAATTGTTTACATCCTATTTTGTAACATGCAATAACAAGCAATTTAACCAAAACACATAGGGCTTTCTAAGAAAATTATATTAGTAGCTACACAATTAGCCTTAACAAGAAAAAAGGAATATAAATAATAATTATAATAACAACTATTTTGTCCATGGGCAGCCCTTCATTTGTTGACATCAAAACTCACAATGTTAACATACAGGCAGTGTCCCACATGAAGCGCATGTTCCCTATACACCTCTGTTCTTGCTCCTGACATGATGGTGAATTCAACCATTATCTATCTGCTCTAGACTGAAAGTTCCTGGATAGTAGGGACTATGGCTGCTACATCTGTTTTTCTAATGGCCATATGAAATGGAAGCAATTGGTTTACCTATCAGCATGAGTCTTCAGACCTCCTCCTTGTTCTTTACCCACACATTAGAAAACTGGAGCAATGCTCATTTGGATACCAAATAAAGAGATTCCTTATATTAAAGGAGAAACAAAACCTAAATAGCACGTTCCTCTTCCTCTGAGACTGAAGCAAGATTAGCCCATTGTCAGCCTGACCCCCGTCTGCACAGGATATAACCAAGTGTCTCAAGAATCCCTAGGTGCTGGTGAAGAGTCCCTGGTAACCCTGGGATGAAAACCCAATGGTGATTTAGGCAGGAAAGACTCAAGTTGTCCTTGTGGAACCAGAGTAGAAAACTGGGTTGTCATGGTAGGGCCCCAGTTCCTGGATCCAGATATGTTATTACCTACACCTGATCAGCTAACTCTTGGGTACAAGACAGGACAAGATTACCCTACTCCAGTAAGACAGCACACGGGTAGGTGTAGCTTCACTCACGGATCTGGACAGTTATGGCCCTGCACTCCCTCTGCTAAGGTGCTGCTTTACACTTACAGATTCTGCCAACAGACTGTGTATAAAAGGAACCCCTCACAGAACTGCTGTAGCTCACTGGGCAAGATCTTGAAAATTCTGAGGGCCTCACTCCAAAAGGAGGGCTTTACAAAGTCCATGTTGATCTCGCACAATGCAGAAAATGTCCCCTGGATTTTCTATACATCCTCAGTCCAAAGTCTGGCCCTGTCTTGTGGATCCCAGGTGGAGACCAGCCTTCAACTCCAGACTCCAAGTGGAATCAACCTGGCTCTGCAATTCTTGGGTGTTGCTGTGAAGAGAGGAAAACTAGAGGAAACACCTCCTCAGGAAGGCTGCTCTCACACATCCTGGAGAGCCCCAGGACCTGGGTTCCGAATTCGCAGCTGCAGATTTAGGTGCTGGAGGGACAAGGAAGTGGCAGGCACCCTATGCACACTTGTGGGCATTTGGGCAAGGGGAGGAGGGGAATGTTGAGATTCTCAGGCCTACTCAATGCACGTGTGTGCCTGGTTGGTTTCCAGGCCTCATAGTCTCTGTATCAGTTTCAGGTCTGAAGATGCCAGGGGCATGGAAAGACAGAAGTGGAACAGCTAAATGATACAGCGTGAACTTATTTTTGTAGAAATCTAGTCAAACTGTTCTAGAAGGGACTGAAGATCCCAACTAAGCAGAGAGACCATTCTGCCTACACATTTTGGGGGCAATGGGCACTTTGCTGCACAACTGTATGTTCTGAATGAAAATCGAAAAGGGAAAGGACCCTATGGAGTGAAGTCTTATGGGCACCTTACATGTTTATATTCTGTGGGGTAATTCCGGGCAATGTTTGAAAAATGTTATTAAGAAGAAAATCATAAAATCATCTCCAACCCCAGAAAAACTATCCACAATGGTAGAAAAGAAAGAAAACTGTTTTATTACACAATTAGGCCAGAATGTAAAGGACATAATAGGCAACCTGCAAAGAGACTGGAAAAACGCCCACTGGTGAAAGTTACCATAATTAGTCCTCAAGTAGAAGACCTAACAGCACTATTTGTCAGATACATCTCATGCTAAATTTACCTGAGAATTGGGAGGCCATCTTTGTTTTGTAACTGCCTATATTCAATAGAAAAATAAACTTCATGTCTTTGTGACAGGTAGATTTGCAACTTGGAGCTAGGTGCCTGCTCTCCTAGAGAAACTGTGGGATACAGCTGTATCTTCTTTGCTATTTACATTTTATATCAATGATTCCCAGTTCCTAGAGAAACACAGTCCTGAGTCAAAAAGACTGACGAATGGCCTATTTAGCTGTTAGAATGATTTAGACAGATTGTAAAACAAAAATAATTTACATATGAAACTTTTCCAAAGTAAATGCTTTAAGAAAAAAAATATTTCTTTCCTTTCTTTTTTTAGAGACGGGGTCTTGCCCTGTCGCCCAGGCTGGAGTGCACTGGCGCAATCTCGGCTCACTGCAACCTTTGCCTCACAGTTTCAAGCGATTCTCCTGCCTCAGCCTCCCAAGTAGCTGGGACTACAGGCACGTACCACCCCGCCCAGCTAATTTTTTGTATCTTTAGCAGAGACAGGGTTTCACCATGTTGGCCAGGCTGGTCTCGAACTCCTAACCTTGTGATCCACCCGCCTCGGCCTCCCAAAGTGCTGGGATTACAGGCATGAGCCACCGCACCCGGCCGTCTTATTTTCAAGAAGGATTAAGTCTTGTATTCCTAATTTGTATTTGCTCTTACAACAGCCAGTTCTAGGGCCATGGTCTTGAGCTCATGGACATCTGAATTCCAATAGGTGCTGCATTCAGGCACCTGAGGGGTGACCTTGGGAACACTGTACACATAAAAAAAAAAGGGGGCCTGTGGGGAAGTAAAACGCAGAAAAGAAGAAAATGCTATTGGGGAACCATGAGCAGGGGCAGTGTCAAGTTGGTGGAAGGACCGGTTTGTGCTAGATACTGGCCCAGGTGGAGCTATGCTGACATATTCCTGGGTCCATGCAGGCAGGTAAGATTATGATTAGGTGGTCCACAAGCCTAGGTTGATGAAGAAAGCAGGCCGCTGCTACAGATTCAGTGTCTGGGATGACGAGTCAGGAGCCCTCAGGCATTTGTATGAGTTTATGGCAAGAAACTGGAAGCAAAGGTGCTGTGGGTGCAATTCCTGAGGGTCAAGCCTTCTCCTGGGAGGGGCGGGGACATGTCAATGCCTAGTGGATATGTTCAGGAGTGGGCAGGAATCATAGGGTGGCAGCTGGGTAAGGGAGGGGGTCTCTTCCCAGAACTCCTTTCCTCTCAATCTTTAGTCCCCTGTCACCGTAGCACTCCTGGAATCAACGGACGATGCACAGTGGGGCAGCCTGTGTGCAGATCAGAGCCTCCCTTCCCCCAGACACTTGGAGTCTCTCTCCAGCCCAGGCCCCTGTGAGGTCTGTCTTCTGACACCAAATGTGTAGAGTTTGCTGAACACCAACCAATCCTCCAACAATTAAGGTGTTCAGCAAACAACTTAATTCTGACACCACCCAGAGTCAGCACAGACCCTACAAGTTCTGGGCTCAGTCCCACAACACTGCCCCCACTTCAGATGCCAGTTACAATTCCTGGAGGCCCAACTATACTTCCAAGCTACTGCCGGTAAATCAAGGGCACCCATAACCCTATCCTTAAGTTCAATCATTTCAAAGATCTACTCTCAGAACTCAGCAAATCACTTTACTTATGTTTATCAGGTTATCATAAGGATACAGTTCAGAACAGCCAAATGGGATAAATACATATAGGGCCAAGAAAAGTAGTAGGAAAAGATAGGAATAGTAACCTGGTAAATAGCTGTGATTAAAGAAATCCCCTATCTTTTGTGTTCTCCAAGAGCAGCTTACTGCAAACACCCACCCTATTATGACTTCAGTGATGCTCCCTGATTTAGCCATCACAAAGTCACAGACTCTCCACACTCCCTCTTTCTCACTCAGCTGAACAGTTGTGTCTTCAGTATTCAGAATGAACTACTTAACCAACCTTTTTTCTCCAGGTTGCTGGACTTTGACATACCCACAGTCTGGTCAACATCCAACCCCTCCTTATGCCCCCACTAAGAACAGGCTGACCTCAGCGTGAAACATTATTCTCTGATCTAGAATCTGATTTTGGCACCTAATCCTGCCCTTCCCCTCCCACCTTCTTTCTGAGCTTCTTTGTTCCTCCCTGTGAAAGAAAGCCATTGTCTGCCCAACCTTTGAGATCCACAAAGACCTTACAGTGGGTGCTTTCCCCCTGTAGCAATACTCCTTTAGAATTAAGGAACTTCTTACCTAAACCTGAATTTGTCTTGACAAAATCAAATAAAATGTGGGGAAGGAACTGGAAATTTAATATTTTACTGCAGGCCTCAGGCTGGGGGAACACACTGGTGGATTTGAGATTCTGCATGCCATACATTAGGAAAACACAGGAAAACCAGTTGATGGGGGCAGTGTTAAAATGATTAATGGGTAGGCAATTATACCATATGGAAGTGGTTTTAGTGCCCACAGTTTCTAGGGAGAAAAACCAAACCAAATAGCCTCAGGACAATGACAATTTCTATCCTCAGAAAGAGCCTCCCAATCCCGCTTCCATCCCAACCCCACCTGCCTCTTACTGTGCCTTTTCAGCTTTCCAGGGCTCTGTAGCTTCTCGGTATAAAGGGCTCCTTCCATGGTTGACGTGAGCAGGCTGGGACACCTGCAGGTGAAGCTCCCCAGGAAGAACTAACTGGGTCTTCAGTGACCTCTTTTTGCAGGCTCAAGACTGGGTTAGTTTGCACTCACTGAGCTCAGTCTTCTGCTTCCCAGTCAGGGTTATTCACTTAGTATTAAATGAGAAAATGCCCAGCGTTTGAAGAAAGCAAAACTACTCAAACAGTGTTTATAGAAGTAAAGGAAACTGAAACACCTTTACAAGTTATACCTCAACAGAAAATGCAAAAGCATCCATCCCTTTTAGACAATAAATATGCCACTTATTTCCAGGATGACAGATCATTTAGTAAATAATTAATCATATATAAACACTTCTACCAGGTGCCAAGTTCTGTCTCATAAAATTTAGCATTAAAGCCATACATCCAAGGCTAGGCATGGTGGCTCACGCTTGTTATCCCAGCACTTTGGAGGCCAAGGCAGGAGGATTGCTTGAGCCCAAGAGTTTGAGACCAGCCTGGGGCGGCAACACAGTGAGACTCACATCTCTACAAAAATAAAAAAAAAAAAAAAAAAAAAAAAAAACAGCCAGCCACGGTGGAGCACCCCTGTAAGTCCCAGCTACTCAGAGGGCTGAGGTGGGAGGATCACTTGAGCCCAGGAGGTTGAGTGAGCTATGATCACACCACAGCATTTCAATCTGGATGACAGAAAGAGATCCTGTCTCCGAAAACAAAAAATAAAAAATAAACTCAACATCCAAACAAGAAGATAAGGAACAAAGATATCCACTGTCACAACTTCACCCTACAAAAAAGAGAAACCTATGTTTTGATGAATCTATAGAATTCACCAATTAATCTACCACATTGTTGTGAAAATGTATTCACTTTCTACAGTCAATAATGAAAGATTTTTCTCCATTTCTCCATTTCCTTTCCCAGACAGCATTTCCAAAGGTGAGCCCTGAGATTCTTTGAAATTACTCCCCAAATATGAACACCCTGAGAAACTTACACACTCACTCTGCTGAAGAAAAGGAGAATAAGAATTTTTAACAATGAAGTATATAACTTGATATTTTAATTTTCTGAAATCCGCCTTTCACGGCCTTGGAAATGTTTTTTTTATCTTTCAAGCTCTACTGATGAAATGTACACTAATTAAAAAACTGAAATTGAAATAAATGAACAAATCTTTCTAAGGCAGCAAACTCAGGGAATGGCAATGCTAACTGGAACACAGACATAGCTAGCTCAAGTGTCAAGTCAGGTCACGGTATCATTTGGGACATTATCCTATCCCAATACTGCTCATTAAAATGCTCAAGGACCATCCTCCCAGGAAATCCTGCACTGTGCCCCCATGAACACCGCAGCTGAGTTTGCACCACCTCACTGAGGTGGGGTTTTTGTTTTTTTGGTCCTTTGGAAGTTTTTCTCCCTTCACAAATCTGAATGAATCCAGAGGGCAGGAATCATTTGTGACTGTTTCCTCTAAATACCTGCGATTGGCTGACCAGCTGTGTGTCTCCAAGGGATGAAAACTAGGTTTGAATAAAATCTTTATGTCCCGGGGGTTAGCTTTTTAGGTTAAGCGTGTCCCAGGAGATTTCTCTCAGCCCCAGGGCATACAGCTACTCCCCTGGGGGGCTACACTTCCATACCTTGGGCGGTCCTCTAAGAGATGACACGGGGCTGACAGTCACTAAACACTCCAAGACACATGACCACTGTGGGCATCTTGAGTCATCCCAGACAGTTCTGAATCTCAGGAACTGGAAAAGACTGGACGGAGGGTGGCTACACAGGGCCCTGTAAAGTTTCCAAAGCAAAACCTGAAGTCAAAAGACATTCTTTCTGATGTCTCTGTGTCTAGGGAAGATGAAAGAAAAAGAGGCACAAAGACTTTTCTGCAGTGCAGTGTCAGGGATTTATTCTCTGCTTTCCTCTCACATGAAATGTATACCAAAAAAACCCGAATCTTAAAAAAGTGTCATCCACTGCTCTGCGAAATAATGATTAACGAGTAAAATACTCTGTCTGAAATGTACAGTAAATGACCAATAATTAATAATGTAGTGAACTGGAGAGTGGAAACTAGTCTTTGGAAACATCAGGAAGAAACTGGAAATTTAATATGTTACTGCAAACCCCAGTTAGGCTGGGGGAACGCAGCCTAACTGGTGGGTTTCGGGCTCTGCGTGCCACACGTTAGGAAACCGCAGGGGGAAAACCAGTTCTGGGCAGTGCTAAGATGATTAACAAGCAGGCGATCATACGGAAGTGGTTATAAGTGCCCCGGGTTTCTAGGAAGAAAAACCAAAGTAATGCATTTCTTGTAAATTACAACATTAGGGGAAAACAAAATTCAGACTTAACGATCCAAAACCCTTCAATTCACCCCTGACTATATAAGCAGGAAATTTCCACCTGTATAGTCTAAATAAGGCAATTACACAACTGTATCCCAACGGTTATTTAATTTGGTCTGCTTCCTCATCCACCTTATAAAAACCTTTCCTTCAAGCCCCTCTGGAGACCTCCGAACCACAAACCAGGACTGCAGGCTTCCCATGTCGCAAATCGCTATTTGCTGAAATTCCTCACCGTTTTAACAGTGACTCCCTTTAATTCTTAATAGGATTAAGGAGCCACTGGGGACCCCACGGGGTACAATTTCTTCCTACACACTAACCACACACAGAGCCCAGGTCTCCCCTGAGACGCTCCCGTCCTCACTGCACCACGCTGGGCTGCGGCGCGGAGCTGCCCAAAGACGGCTCAGGCCAGGGCCGAGGTCGCTCCGCGGGAACGGGACAGGACGCGCTGGGTCCCCGCTGCCAGCCCGGCCGCCATCTTGCGGCGGAGGGGACCGAGGGCCGCGCTGCGCCCGCGGGAACTCGGGGCCCAGACCCCAAAGCTGACCGCGGGGACTCCCGGGTACCCTCACAGCAGTTTCCCGCCGCTTCCGACCGCCCCCAGCCCTCTGGGGACCCCTAACACCGCAGACTCACCATTTCCCAGCTTCCGGGATGCCCTAGCGTCTTAGCTACGGATCTCCCAATGCCTGCGGGTCACAGAACAACAAAATCTCTGTTTATTCTCAGAACGCGAATCCGCCTGGGCCTCCCAGAACCAGACTCGCAGCCGTAGCAACGAGACCCGAGCTCTGACTGGAGCTGACAAAGGCCCCCGCCAAATCCCGGAAGCCGCCCCTGCTCTCCGGCTTCACTCCTGATTGGACGGTTTCCACTCCAGCGCCCCTGATTGGATAAAACTCCAGGCCCCGCCCCCTCATTATTAGTGGGGTTTGGGGTTCCTTTTTTTTTTTTTTTTTTAAAGGGAGACCGGCTCATTGAGGTGGGGCCGTCTGCTGCGTGAATTACAGCTAAGGGGTGAGCTGCGACTTGAAATGCATTTGCTCTCTCTTTTACCTGGTTCTGCTTGTATAAAGCATCTTATTAGCTAATTAAGTTTAAGAAGAAGAACATTAGACACCTTTAAAGCAGGAAAGACCTTCATCCTGTCCCTTAGCACCTCTCTTACCACACTGTACCCCACTGCTAATGCCACCGTGGGAGGGGCCCCTCAGCTGGGGACAGAAGACCGTACACTTCACGTGTTTTCAATTAGGCCTTTGTATGATTTGTACACTGAACCAGTGCAAAAGCATCTTATAGGCGGCATGCAGGCTGGGGTCCCAGGAGGATGCTGCGGGTGGTGGAACATAGAAGAGGAGCTGGCCTCTTCCTCTAATCTGCAAGCCTGCCTCCATCTTCTGGAGTCTGCATCCCGGGTAACGGACCGTGTCCATCTGTCTCTCCCTCTTGATCCCTGCAAGCTCAGAGAAGAAGCGTCCTTGGCAGGCACAGGACTGGGAGCTCAGTTCCGCTGGGCCCTGCTGGCTCAAACTCAGTGGTCATGGACTCCTCAGCCCTATCTCCGGTGTGTGTGTATGTGTGTGTGTGTGTCTATGTGTGTGTGGTGCAATCATGGCTCACTGCAGCCTCAACCTCTGGAGCTCAAGCAATCTTCTCACCTTAGCCTCCTGAGTAGCTGGGACTACAGGCACATGCCACCATGCCTGGAAGATTTCTGTATTTTTTGTAGAGAGGAGGTTTCACCATGTTGCCCAGGCTGGTCTCGACCTCCTGAGCTCAAGTGATCCTCCCACTTCAGCCTCCCAAGTAGCTGGGGTTAGTAGTCAGGTCTCCAACTCCTGAGCTCAAGTGATCTGCCTGCTGTGACCTCCCAGAATGCCCTATCTCTGTTTTTCTGGACTCCTGTAGCTAGTGGCACTGCATCACCTCTGTTTTCAGATTCTCCTAGTCTTCTGACTGAGAAGGTGGGAGGGCAGGTGGGTGACAGACTGGGCCAGGGCCCTCGGCCCTCCTCTAGCTTGGTTAAACTCCCACTTGGGACAGATCAGGCTCTGTGCCTTATTCGGTGAGACGTGTCGAACAAGTGCTTCCTTCCAAAAGCAGAAAGATCCCTAATTGCTGGCAGTCAGGATTCCATGCACCTTACTCAGCCGAGGGCCCAGCTGCCTCTCACCCTCACACCCAGTTCCAATCACTGCACTCTGTGGCCTCCCTGCCACCAGATTAGGTGTAGACAATGGGTGTGGGGAGGGGCTACTCACGCCCCTGGCTGATCAAACCCCTTTCCCACACTGAGGGGAGAAGAGGCGGGAGGTTAGGGGCTCCCAAAGGCAGCACTGCTTGTGACAGCTCCTCAGGAGTTCTTACAGCCTTCTAAGGGGCTGGGCTGGAACTCAGGATCAACTCTGCCTGACTCTAAAGTCCATGTGCCTCCATGGGCCTCACACCTCAAGCATCTTCCCTAGGCCTTTGAAATCCTGGAGATTGACTCTTCTGCAATAGAAGAAAGATTCCTTTTGATTCTCATCCTTCTAGTACTTTTCCCAATTAGAAATAATCTCAACCAGAGAATGCTTCTGAAATTCTGGAAACATTTAGAATAATTTGGGGAAATTGCTAAAGGCTGGGTTTAAGAGATCAAGGCCTAACGTTTTATTATTTATTTCTTACAATAGGAGAAATTTGAAAGCGCTTAGAATGGGCTCAATATGTCTGCAAATTATTTTCATTCCCTCTAAGTATTAATAGGCCATTGATGATTTTCAATACAGACTAACTCAAACTACTGTGCCCGAAACTACCTTTTATTCTGAAAGCAAGAGATGCAAAGGTAGATCTGCTGAGAAGACATTTTCTCCTGCCACAAGTTTAGCCAGACAGCTGAGTATGTCTTAAAGTCAACCTTTGATTTCTAACAAGTCAAGCTGTTTGCCTAGACCCCAATCAGATCATATGAGTGCTTCAGCTCCTTCATTGTCCCAGAAGGTCGACCAGAGAGATGGAAGCTCTGGGTGGAGTGGTGAGAAGATCTGCACTAGCAGGTGGGCAGTCGTAGGTCCACAGGTGCGAGTCATTCATTTGGTCGGGTGTTTTGGGGTCCTGATATTTATGACACAATTAACATGTATATTACTAAAACTAAATTATATAACATTGCAAATAATAAATCTATATACAAGCTAAACATGTCAGCAATTACGATTACGTTATTTATTATTATTCTAAGCATGATCATTATTGTGACCACAATTAGAAAGACTAGTTGTGGCTGCTGCTGCTGCTGCTGTTGTGGGGATGGTGATAAAAACACGGAGTAAGGCTCTGCTGGCTCCTCCACCTGTAGCATCGGGGGCTGCTGGCTCGCTAGTTTGGTGCACACTCTGGACCCCTTTCATGAAGCTGCAGCTGAAAAGCCTTCAGGCTCCGCTATGGCAGAGAAAGAGCCCAAGTCGAGGCTGAGACCAGTAATCCTATGAATTTGAAGGTGGCAGGTACGACAGTCCTGGGGTGCAGTTGATGGTGAAGTGTTGCACACCACTCGGTGAATGAGTGAAAGCCTTTGGTGAAAGGCAGAGTTTGTCTGTGACATAGATCAGATTCTACTTTGACTGGGGACCAATCAATGAAACAGACACATGTGTAGAACTGGAAATGGAGAACAAAGATACAGTTGATGTGTTCCAGAAGCAGACAGGAGTGTCTACTGAGAACACACCTGCTGCTTTACCCCAGAACTCTGTTCCTACAGACCAAGCAGACATTCTCATGTGGAAAACTGCAATATGGTTCCACCACGGCCACTGTTCCAGTATCCCTTCCTCTATTCTTCACTTTCCTGTTCCTCATTCCTTTGTTGTACATAAATTATCGGGCGTAGCTGTACAAACAGCTTGTTTGCTTGCTTGTTTGTGCTGAATGACCAACAGTCATTGATTTCCAATGATCATTGAGTCACTGGTGTTGAATGATTTCCAGTGAAGACTGGTGAGAGAAAACACTGGTTCTGTGAAAAGATTTCTTTTCTCCACCAGGGGGTGCTCACTCCTCGTTTATCTCTATATTCCAGGCCTTAATATAAAAAGCATCATGATCCTTTAGGTTTGTTGGGGGCAGGAAAAAGGTGGGGGAAATAATCTTTGCCTACATTGTACAATTAGAAATTTTTATTTTAAAAAATGTATCATGTAAAGCTAAGGACAATGTTATGCTTTTTTAATGTAGCTGCTACACATAGGGCAAATCCATCCTTACACAGGACTAAAGTGACAATTAAAAGAACAGAACAAATCTTAGATATGTTCTTCATCAAATCCAGGATCTGGTTGTTTAAATACATATCTTGTGTAAAATTAAAAACAATTAATATATAAATTAAAACAGGAGGTAAAGTTTCTCTAGCCATGAAGTTTGTTCATTGGACTGAAAATGAGGAAGAAGGGGTTTCTGTCTGCAATAGTTTGAAGTCCTCCCAGGGGCCAGGGAACTGTCCACACCCTCTGAGACTAGCCCCCCTCCTCTTCTGCCCGGGGCAGGGTGCCCTGTGAGACTTCCATGTCCTGGACCAGGAGGTACATGGAGGGTAGGAGGTTGCCTGTCTCACACCCAAGCAGACATCCCTGGCCAAGGCCCTCTGGAAGGTATTCCCTGAGTCCCCATAAGCTTCCAGGGTCACACCCTTCCAGAAAAGTTATATAAGTGAACTGTTCTTGAAGGTCAACCATCCATGAGTGATACCCAGCCATACTGCACCCTGGACAGAGGGAAACACATATCATGCAAATGCCAACCTCTGTAAAGCTCTATTTGCTGACAAAATCTGGGAGCCAAAACATGAGACATCCTCTTTATGCTTTGAGGGAAAAGAGAACAGGCTACAAGTGGTTGGTTCATGCGTTCATGACTGCCATTGTCAGGGTGAGCTGAGAAGTGCACAAGCTCAGAAAAGGACTGTGCCGCGTGACAAACTGGAGGGGTGTGACAGGAGAGAGAAGATGACAAATAGAATATGGGAAGCAAAATGGAAGTTCTGCTTCATGAAAACACAGCACATTCTTTCCTTACAGTGAAGAAAAAAGGAAGAAGAAAGAAACTTGAAGAGCAGCTTTATTTTAAAAAGAGCAAATGTATTCTATAACAAAGTCCTCATTAGTCTGTGGATGGCATATCTGTGCTTTCATGCAATGATTAGATGAAACCTGCTACCAGCACATCAATCCAATCAGCAACAGCATTCCAAAAGAATAAGAAAAAAAATATGACGTGGTGTGTACTCTTGCCACACACATATGGGAAAGTGAATTTCCATGCATTACCCTGAGAAGAAAAAAAATTACCCAGATTGAATTGGGGATGGGTCTAATCACTCCTGGGATGATGAAATACACTAAAATAGATTAAAATGGGGCTTACACTGCTTGTATATGTGCATGTGTGTGTAGTGAGGGGGAGAGAGAGAGAGAGAGAGAGAGTGTGTGTGTGTGTGTGTGTGTATGTGTGTATGTGTGTACTGTGGTGTTTGCCACTGAGTACTAGAAACACTGCCTACTTGAACTAAAGGAAATGCTCTGAGTTTAAACAAAAGTAAAGTCCTATGGAATTCAGAATCCTCCCAGCTAGTAGGTTGCTCTTCAACCTCAGGTTTCAGTCTCAGCTCTTTTGACAGCAGCCACGCAGCAGATCAGTTGCTGTGGGTGGGGGACTTGGTGGAGGGTGCCAAAGGTTTTGTTGGGCGGCTGTAATTTGGGAGAATTCAGTGAAAGAATGCATTCCCGCCCACAACCGGGAGCTAAGTCCTCATTTGGGATTCAGAGGCAAAGTCGTCCCTGCGTTTCTCACCCCTCTGCT